GTGTTGGAGGGGGCCCTGCTGCTCTGTGTGTGTGTGGGGGGCCCTGCTGCTGTGAGTGTGAGGGTGGGGGGAAGCTGGGGACTAGCGAGGGGGTTCACCCTGGAGGGCCCCGTGTCCCCCTGACTGCCCGCCTCCCGCAGCGCTGTCATCTACCTCAACATCCAGGTGGTGAAGGGCCAGCGGAAGGTCATTTGTCTTCTCAAGGAGCAGATCAGCAATGTGAGTGCCCGCGCCCTTACTGCCCTGGAGACCACTGAGACCTGGCTCTGGTCTGGACAGGTCCTGCTGCTCTTCCCAGAGTTTGGTTGCCAAACACTGGAATCCATGAATAGGGAGTAGTTTGTGTATGTGAGGCCGTGCGTCTGGGGCTGCCTCTGGGGCTGCTTTGAGCTCCTTCCAGAAACTCGGCATTTCAGGGGGCTAGGATTTTTCACTCTGGGACATCCTTGTCTTGGAACAAGGACCCCCGTTCAGCGCCCTCATTTCACAGACAAAGCAAATTAAGTTGAAAGAGGCTCAGGATTTATAAAACTCTTCAGGAAACAATGCATTTTTTATTCAGCCCGTTCCAGTTTTCCATCCACACATGGGAGGTGGATGTGGGGGTGAAGCTGCCTCCCTCTGTCCTTGCTCAGAGGCCACCCTGCGAGGCAGGCCCAGTCCCTGCCCAGCGAGGGCGGGGATCCCCTTGCTCCCAGACAGCAGCCTTGTTCTCTGCCGAGAGGCCGGCCTGCCTGTTAGCGGGATGCCCTGTTACATTGTAACAAGTTACTTTGCTGACATCCAGCCACTCAGGCCGGTGGGCTGCTTTCCTGCTCTCCAGCACAGCCCGTGCTTCTCACGCCTCCTGGCTGGGAACCTGAGTCATGGGGTCAAGCTGCTCACATGGAACCTGCCAGAACCTGCTAGAACTTGCCGGTAGCAACAGTTTTCTGGAAGAGTTAAAATGAGCCCCCAGGGGCCTGACATTATGCCCCCTGGCTTTGCTGGCCCGTGGGGTGGGGACCCTAGCACGGCTCCTGTCTCTCCTTGACCTCTGCTGTCACCGCCTCGGGGTTTCTGGGCATGTGAGGCGAGGTGCACAGGGTATCAGGCCCGGGGTGACTTCTGGGGCTGTCCTGGGGTGGGCCTCTCCCTGGCCGTCCTGGCTGACCCTCAGCGGTGCCTCTGCCCAGGCTTATCTCTGAGAAGAAGCTGAAGAGGCGGCAGAAGCCAGAGTTCGACATTGCCCGGAACGTCCTCGACCTGATTTATGGGCAGACTCTGACCTGGTGGGTGTTTGCACTGCCCCCCTCTCCCAGCCCTGGGGGAGGGCGAACCCCCCGGGGAAGGTGAACCCCTGAGGGAGGGTGAACTCCCGGGGAAGGGTGCACCCCTGGGGGTACCCTTTCTTTCTGGGACCTTGTGCTGGCCTCCTGCTGGGGCTGGGTGGAAGCACCAAGGCCTGCCTCAGGTTTCTGGGGTGCTGCACCAGCCCCCCACCCCATGTGGTCCAAGCCCAGCCTGGTCTTGGGGTGGACAGCGGAGGGGCCAGACAGCTTGCTCCACCCCTGAGCCAGGCAGGGGCGGGGGGATGGGGAAGAGGGCATCTAGCCCTGGGGAGGAGCACAGGGGTCTGGCCCACCTCTGACCTGCAACTGCCCCGCCCCCGCCAGGCTGGGGGTCCTCTTCTCGCCCCTCCTCCCTGCCATGCAAATCCTCAAGCTGCTGCTTCTCTTCTACATCAAGAAGGTAAGGGTGCTGCTGCCCCACTCCAGGGCAGGCACGGCGCCCAGCACATGTCCCCCACTCCCTGAGAGCTATGGGGCTTGCAGCCAGGGCCACCCTGGGGTCAGTCCCATGGCCGTGGGAGCCAGCTGACTCCCCTACCCTGGCATCACCTTCTTTGCCAGGCTGGGCAGCATCCTGCTGGTGAGGGGTCGTCATTGGGCATGTGTGTGCCAGGGCTGGGCTGGCCCTGGGAGTTGACGCTGGCCCTCTGTCCTCAGGCCAGGGGTGCCCAGTGGTTGAGAATAGGGACCTTGGACCCCTTGACTTTGAAGCCACTGTCCTCTCTGGCCTCGCTCCTTGTCTCTACCACAGGCTGGGCTCTAGTGGGGGCTGGCAGGGAGGGAGCTCACCAAGTGACCTTGGACAGGCCGCTCCCGTGTCTGCCTCGGTCTCCCCAACCCCATGCCTTTAGTGAGCCTGCCTTTCTCTGCCCACAGCAGAGCCCAGCCCCTGGGGTTGGGGGAGAGGAGGGTCTCAGCTCTGGGCCCTGGCTGGAAGGACCCCTGCCCGTCCACTTCTTCCCTCTTGGGGTGTCCCCACTAGGCCAGGGGCAGGGCGGGCAGCGGGTGGTGGTGGCATCGTTTGTTTCTGTCCCCCAGACGAGCCTGATGGCCAACTGCCAGGCGCCCCGCAGGCCTTGGCTGGCCTCACACATGAGCACTGTCTTCATGACACTCCTCTGCTTCCCCTCCTTCCTGGGTGCTGCGGTCTTCCTCTGCTATGCCGTCTGGCAGTGAGTGCTGCTCAGCCTGGGCACTCTGTGGCCTGGGACTCGGTGGTGGTGCCTGGGGGGTTTGGGGAGGTGTGGCGGTGTCCTGAGGCTGGAGGGAGGAGGAGGCGGAGGGGCCTTCACCAGCTGAAGGTCCCTGCGCCCCACTGCATCCCGCCCAGGGTGAAGCCATCGAGCATGTGTGGCCCTTTCCAGACCCTGGACACCATGTATGAGGCGGGCAAGGTGTGGGTGCGCCGCCTGGAGCGGGCAGGGCCCAGGGTCTCCTGGCTGTCCTGGGTCCATCACTACCTGCTGGAGAACACCTTCTTCATCTTCCTGGTGTCGGCCCTGCTGCTGTGAGTGGGTGGCGGGGGGGGGGCCTGC